AAAAAAAAAAAAACAAAAGAATCCCAAATGCAGAGACCCAGCGTGTTCTCCGTGTCCCTTCGCCCCCTCTGGGGACCAAAGCTTACAGCCACGCCCTGTGCAGGGTGACAGCGGAAGGGCGGGCCCAGCAGGCACACACAGGAGCGGGCTAAGAACCCTGCTGGGAGGAGCAAGTCGGGGCACGGCGGGATTGCTGTGCAGCTCACGTGGCCAAGGCCGTGGACACACGGGGGTGAAGAGCCGGAGCCCTGCAGGTGTCAGTCGGCCGCAAAGGGCTTCCCAAATCTGTGCCTCTCTTTGTTGCAGGAGACCAGAGAGTATGAGGTCTCTATCTAAAGAGCGGCCCTGGAGGGGGGACTCACGGATGTGAACTCAGTGACAACTTCCCCGAGACGTCTGTCCGGAGACCGCGTGGCGTTCCGTGGAAAGCGCAGTGCCTGCCGTCTTCGCATTAGACTCTTGACTGGAGACTTCCTGTTTTCTTCACTGTATTTAATATATTTAAAACTGAAGTAGGTGTGGCTCGGCGTGGTGCAGTCGCAGCCAAGCCCATTGGCAGCCTCCGTTCCCAAGGCGGGGGCGGGGGGTTACCTGCCAGACAGCGGACGGCGGCGGTGACCAGCCACAGGCCCGTCCTCTCCGCCAGCCGCAGCGGCGTGTGCTGAGGCTGCACCAAGCTGCACACACCTCCGGCACCCGCGCCCAGCTGTCATTGGCACCGTCGCACTCCCAAGACATCAAAAGGGCGTTTCTCGTGGTTGACAAGGGTTGGGATTCAGCGTGGGTACTCGAGCCCATTCCTGGTTTTGGTCTCAAACATCTTCTGTGTCATCTTTCCCTCTGTGACCGGCTTCTGAAAGGTCTCAGCCCTGTCTCCTCTGTCCCCCGGGCTTTCTGAAGGCAGCAAAGACGTCACCTAAACATTCTCCTGTACCACCCCGGCCTCCCCAGATGCTGCAAAGATGAGAAGACGTTTTCTTTCTAGAAAGGTGATCAATGGCAAAGGAGAATTTTCAGGGCAGGTGAGAGATCTGAGGGTTCTGATGAAAAACTGGGAGAAGGGGCACATTGGGTGGGGAATGGGCTTAAACGAGCATCGTTTTCCTCGAAACACCCTCACTGATGAAAGAGCCGGTCGTCTACACTGCGGGCGCCAGGACAGATCACCTTGATCGGCAGGGCCACCATCCGGCAGGAGTGATAAACCCACAGACTCAGGAGACACAGGCAGCTTGACCCATACAGTTACAGGGCTTGTGTGGGGAGGCGGCATGCTCCGAGTTCGGGGTGAGCTGTTTTCCTTCCGGGGTTCTGGGATGTCTTGGCCTTCGACGCAGGAGCCGGCCAGGCTCACTGCTTCCCTAAAAGTGTTCCCTAAAGTCGGTATCTCCCAGGCAGGGAAGGTTCTCGCAGGAAAAGTAAGGGGGCCCTACTTCCCCGTGCTCTGGAACTCCGGGTGTGGGGCGGCACCGTGGGTGCTGACTGTGGAGGTGCACAGAACGGAACCAGGGGCTGGAATCGTAGCAGACCGTCCCACGGCCTCCACATCACCCAAGCTGAGCGTCAGTGAGGACAGGAAGGGGAGCCTCGGGTCAAGAAAGGGAGTCATCGCGGAACTCGAGCATCTTGCGGTTTTATCAGGGCCCTTTTGCCCCAGCCCAGTGGAACTGGTGAGCGTGCGGCTCCTTCAAAGATTCTTTTCTAAATGCAAGTGTTTTTTTAAAAAAAGGGCAGAGAGTGAAGGTACTCGGGGGCGATTCGGCCCCCTGCGCTACGCCGGGAACGAGCGGTGATCTCACGGCTCAGCCAGGCACCGGGTTTTGCCACCGCTCCTGCTCTCTAGAACTGCTTTAAATCTGCTCATTTTCAAACAAAGAAAGGACCGTGCCGCTCACCAGACCCTTAAAGAGAACGGTAAGGGGCCCACATCTTTGTAGTTGCTTCGGGAACGTCTTGAGCAGGAGAGGAAACTGGTCTTCACACCCACACCCTCTGCCCAGCGACAGCTCCGACCTCACTCCTCGGCGTGCGTCTGCCAGACAAGAGGCCTGCTCATCCGCTCCCGGAGGCGTAAGCATTTACGGGCAGAGCAAGTGACAACTAAGCCTGCTTTCCAGGACCCCAAAGCTCACCCCGTTTCTGAAAGAACCAGAGACCAGGTGTCCAGCCCACTGGAAAGCGGTGTCACTTTGTCGAAAGGCAGCAGTCCCGATAAGGTAACCTTGTTTTAAAAGGCAGAAATCCAAGCCTCACTTTGATTGCCGCTTGATGCTCGTTCTAACCCTAACTCTCGAGTCGTCTGCAGTGAAGAGCTGTGTTAATGACGTTTGATTCTGGAACATACCACGGTTGTGTGAAAACTAAACATTTGCCCGTTGTAAAGACTGACAAGATGCAAAGTCATTCTCCTCACCTTGCTCCCTGAGAGCGGCCAGGTCATGGCCCGGGTATCCTTACAGACTGTCGGATGGGTAGAGAAGACGGTGATCTTTTCTGTTTTCTTTTCAGGAGACCAGTGCCCTAGCTCTGTCTTGTGGTGCCGCCCTGTAACTGTGCTTTCAAAGTGGGTTGTAGCCTAGAGTTGGGTCATGCGCGGTCAGCAATGTGCAGTGTGATTGAAAAGACAGGTTGGTGTCTATTTTTGCTTTTGAAAATACCTAAATGTGTATTTGTAATATGTAAAGATAAAGAAGATGAATAGTGCCGAAAACGTGTGTGGCACTCTCATCAGAGTTCATCCGGGTCTGTTTTTATAAGGTCAAAGTAGAAACCCGTTAGACCGAAGTACTCGGGGGCAGAAAACCCTCTTGAGAAACTCCAGAATGGGCCGCCGCTTGGTATGAGTCGCTCATCTTTGAAACAGTGGGGAAAGACACTTGCAGAGAGCGTGAGCTTCGCAGAATGCATGTGGGCTGTGTGTTGCACACTAGTTCACACAGACCTATTGTCCGCTGCCACCCTGGGCTTTAAAACTGCACACGTGCAGCCCTCCTCAGCTTGAAGCTCAGCCTTGCCTTTTTCTTTCTGATTTCTGGTGGAATTATTTACCCAGCACAAGTCTTCTGATTGCTCTCTGACAGCCCATCCTTACGCAATCCCACGGCCGTGCTTTAACTGTGACCTGTTGAAGTCAGCTCCTGGGAGAGCTTGTGGGGGCATCACACTGATGGCCTTGAAACCTGCCACACCGCCCAGGAGAAGGGAAGCTGACCGCGCAACCAGGATGGCGGTGTGGAGGAGGGATTTGGCAAATGGCGGGGAGCGTTAGGCTGATACGTACACCTGGGGCAGAAGTGACTTTCCCTGGAGTACGTCCAAAGGGCACGGCCTCCCTATGTCCTTGACGAGGCATGAGGGGTCGTTTGAGGTCAGGTATTGTGAGCTGTCCAGCATCCCCAAAGGTAGACTTTCTCCTGCGAGATTTTCATTTTCGTTCTACCATCAAACAGAATAAAAAGCAGAACACACTTTCTAAGCTAGAATAATGAAATTAAGTCATTTTCCACTTTGTATATATTGATGCTAATAAAACAAATTTTCAAAAGCCTAATTTATGGGATTCATTGTTACCAGTGCTTCGGGATGGTACCAAAGAGGATGGTTCCACTTTCTGGAGATTGGGTTGGGCTACACTTCTGGACCCGTTGAAGGCCAGGACAGAAGTTCTCACTCTGCCGTGGTCCTCGGGACGCTGAAGGGATGGTTTGGAGCAAGGCAGATGGCAGGGGAGGGGCCTCTGCCATCAAACACACCACCCCTTTCCCCAGCCTCAGGCTGCACAACAAGGAGCCACAGCCTGGGTGGCCTAGACCGCAGAGATTGTGTCCCAGAGTCCGTGACGTGCAGAAGGCTAAGATCAGGGCCGCAGCCCAAGTCACCTCTGGGCGAGGGGTGTCCTCTTGACTTGCGGCTGCCTTCTTGCAGGATCTCCTCAGAGCACACGAGGGGAGAGAGGAGCGGGCGGGGGCAGCAGCAGCACCCACTCCTCGGCACCAAAGTCAGTTTTCCAGAGAAACAGAATCGCTAAAATGTGTAAGTCTGTGTAAACGACTTCATGAGCCAATTCCTTATCACCTCTCTCTCCCTCCTGCCCTCTGTGCGTGTGTGTGTGCGCGCAGGTATGTGCGCATCTGAGGCACTGGGCAGGGTCTTACAGACTGAAACACATGCAGAGATTTATTATAAGGTATTGGGTTCAGGCCATTGTGCCCACTGAAAAGCTTCAAGGTTGACAGTCCTGAGCTCGAGAGCTGGCGCACGATTCCACTGGCTAGGAGAAGGCCGAGGCTAGGAGAAGCAGCAGCAGGAGCCACAGGCCCACTGAGCTGAAACGTCAGGATCCGCGTTCCTGATCCCCTCGAAAGACCGTGAAAGACTGATGTCGTAGTTTGGGGCAGGAGGGTGAATGTCTCGGTCGCTTTGTCATTTCTGTAGCACAATACCCAACACCTACAATTTAAAGGAGGAGGAGAGGTTTATTTTGCCTCATGGTACGGTCCCTGGCTCACCAGTTCCAGGGCAGCAGTGGCCTGGCAGGAAGGTTTGAAAGAGAAAAGCCGTGTACATCCTGGTGTCCGGGAAGTGCAGAGAGCAGGGAGGAGTCACACCCCCAGGAACTCACCTCTTCCAACGAGGCCCAGCCCCAGCGGCACAGTCACCCTCTGAGGTCACCGGAGGATGAATCCGCCCATGAGTTCAGTGCCCGTGACCCGATCATCTTCCAAAAGCCCCCTTGAGCATGAGGCTTTGGGAGGACAATTCCAGCTCTGAATGGTGACAGCCCCTCCCACTCATGGCTCCGTCCACCCTTCCCGTAGTACTTGGCAGCCTGTTTCACCCAGCCAACCAGCTCCTGTGCTAATCTCATCCAAAAACACCACGGCAATCGCGTCTGACCGAGTGTCTGGGCATCCCATGGCCCAGTGGAGTTGACTACAATTAACCATCAAGCCCCAAAGCCCTCTAAATAGAAGCGGACCCCTGTAAGGACTAGGTAAGCTGTGACTTCCCCAAAGAAATCTTGCAATGATGTTCTTGCTGGGTGAAAGATGAGGGAAGCATTCACACCTCTTACGATAAAGGCAATTGGGTTGAACCTAATGTCTTAAACTGTGTCCCCCAGAAGCAACCTTAAGACAAGGATCCAAGTAGAAATAATTTATTTTCTGGGTAATTCTGCAGAATACCAGTAGACAAGTGGGAAAGTAAGACTGCAAAGTGCTTTGCTAGGTATGGAGCTCAGTAGCCAAGCACTTCCCTGGCCTGCATGAGGCCCTAGGTTTGATTCTCAGCTCTGCAAGGAGGACAAGAGGACATTGGTCAGGCAGGTTACTCCTGAGGACAGCCAGGCTCCATGCCACAGTGTAATTCTGGGAGACAGAGAACAGCGAGCCTCAGAGCTGTTCCACCTAAGGGAAGAGGGAGCTGGGCCACCACTTTGCCACTGTCGCTGATCAAGAGTTGTTTCTGCAAGGCAACAATCCCTCAGCATCCCCAGGGTCCTCTGTTCTCAATGTTGCATAGGTTTGCAGGTAGAAACCATCCAAGCAGGGTCACCGGAACAGCAAGTGGCGCAGGGATGAGGGCACAGAGCCTGTCACCTTCATTGCCACCCATGTCAGCTGCCAATCAGCTCAGCGGCCAAGTCGACCCTCCGTCGGCTCATCCTCTGCTCCGCGCCGTGGACCCCGACACCTCAGGAACATGATGGAGTGCAGGAGAGCCTAGAAAACCTTAGTCGGTGAGTGCAGAATAGAAATGTAAAACCCCAGAGATTCCAGCGCAAGTCCATGGTGACAGGCCTTTCTCCTTCTGACGATGAGAATTCATTTGAGTCACACACACAAGTTTAAACAAGGTTTTCAAAAGATCGTTTCAAAGATTACAAAATTTTCAATTGATGCGTCTGAGTCCAGTAGGCTTCCGCGGTGAAAAACCCATGTTCCCTCGGCAGCAATTTGTGTTCTTAAGAGCGCTAGCTCTTTCCCCAGATGAGGAAACATCTGGGCAGCCTCATTCTGCTTCCCTGGGCCCTGGAGAGTTAATCACATCCCTTCTCACCTGGACCTGGTCTGTTCTCCAGCACTGTGCCGAGCACCTGCGAATATGGATAGCACGGGCCTACCCGGCTCACGGTGTGGGACGGCTGAGTCCGTGGCCACTTGGCCTCGCTGCCTTGGGCCTGTCGTGCAGCAGTGCATCGTGGTGGGAAAACATGGTGCAGGAGGAAGGTGTCTCCTACACCACACGGCAGCCCAGAAAGCAACGACAGAGAAGGGCCAGGGTTCCGTGGTGCTCGTCAAGGGTGCAGCCCCTGATGACCACCTTTTGCCCCGACCTCTTAGAGGATTACCCGCCAAGCTGTAGACCAAGCCTTGAGCACACAGGCCTTTGCGGAATAATCTACATCTAAACTGTCACAAATTCTAAAGAAACCGTAAGTGTTACACAGGAGAAACATGCACAGATGAAAATGAGTGACACTGTATAGGCGGTGAGGCCAAATGGCCATTGACTAGGGCCATGGACTAAACCCTACCAAACTGTGAGCCAAGTAGGCCCATGCCAAGGATGGACAGAGGACATTAACAAAGAGGAATGGGATTTCTCAGCCACGGTAGACTTATTTTTGCCTTTACCTTTCATAAATAAATGTTCCCCTTAAGATAGGTAAAGCAGGTTCATTAAAGACAAGAGGAACTGATACTGTGCTAGCCCCCGAGTTTTAGAGTAGGAAACAATAAAGCAGTGTTCATTCGTGAAGTCGGCAAGGAGAAAATGTAAAATAATAAGGGTCCTGATCGTACTTAAAGTTTTTGTGGTTATTCCATTTTTCATCTGGGCACAGAGACACTTTCTTTTCTGTTGTTGTTGTTGCTGTTGTTATGGCTTGTTTGGTTGGTTGTTTTTAAGGCAGGGGCCTCACTATGTAGTTCAGGCCTTGAGCGGTCCTTGTAGTCCAGGCTGACTTCAAATGCAGTGATCATCCCACTCCAGCTTCCAGAGTGGTGGGATGATGGTGTGCATGACCACATCCGGCTTCTTTCTTCTTTTATCATTTTATATAAAAATTAAGAGTGTTCTACAAGGCACCTGAGACTTTTGTAGCCGCTTCTTAGTCTGCCTTTAAGTAGTTGGGAGTCTCTATACTCATTAACACGACAGATTCCATAGTGCAACAGAAACACATTTTTTCAGGCAACTTTCTTGCAGGTTATTTCACTCATCATTGTTTGCTTCCTCACAGATTGTTTACTAAGTCTGCACAAAAAATGAGTGCACTGGATAAAGCCAGGCTGTCTTTACAGTGCTGTCCCTACGTGGGAGCTCTGTCCTTGGTCCTGGAATATCCAAGCGCTATAAAACCTTCCCCCTCAACACACAGGATTGAGAGTCAGCATCAAAAATACCATACTAGGCTGTTTCCAGAAAGGTAAGTGAAGACAGGAAGACTGTTGTGTCTTTTAGTTTATACTTACTCCTAGGCCTGTATCTCTGTGACAAGGCAACTGTCCAGGTGGCACCCAGAAAGAATAAGGAAAAAAGAGAAAAGGACAAGTTGAACCAGACCGAGGCTCCATAATGGCTGCTCCTGGACCCTTGTTATGACTCGTGTCTCGATGTCTCCTCAAAGCCTCACGCAGTCGTAGGAGGGGCTTTTCACAGATGTCTGTGTGTGATGCTGAGATT